TACATTATCAGAAATAAGTCAGAACACTTAAATTACCACTCAAACCCAACCTTAAAGTTTTAGATATCAGTGGATTGAAACTCAAAGATCTCTCCTTTCTCGCTGATCAACAAGATATTGAAATTTTGATTGCAGAATCAAATGAATTAACTAATTAATGTTTCAAAGAAATAGCCCATCTCAAAAAATTGAAAATACTTTCTCTCTAAGAGTAAATAGCATATATATTTATAATAGCAATCAGATTGTTGATGATGCTAATTTGAAATTACTTGCAGATGCACAACTATTAGAATTGAGATTGTTATTCAATCCAATCTGTCAAACATAACAATACTATAAACTAATTTATAAAGCTTTGCCAAACTTATACACCTTAGATGATTACGATTAAGATGGCTTGTAAATACATAGTTTATTTTGATATATAAAGTAGTATAAAATGTTAAAATATTTTAATTATCCAAAATTATATATCACAAATAAGATACGTTAGAGATTGTTTTATCTTATAATATATAATAATTGAAGAATATTAAATCTTTTCATAATAATTACAAAATTAAAGAATTATTATTCCTGATTATTTTTCACACATAATTTATTACAATTTTACTGTGATTAGAAAATAAATATCTAATTAAAAATATTCTAGTCTAATTTCAACATATCTAACCATTTTTTTAAATAACTTGATTGTATAAAAGAAGTAAATATGAAAGAGACATATTTTTTATACTTTGAAAATAAAAGAGCTTTTAAGTTCCATTAAGATCCTATTGTTTGCACTTATTACACTTAAGAAGGGTTCTCCACTTTCTTTGGTTAACAATCTATTTTAGGATGATTAGGATCATTTTTAACCCAATATGTATAAGAATGTTCCTTTTTCAAATTATCCATTTTTAATTGAAATAATTTATTATTAAAATAGGATCTATAATTATTCTAATATTTTCAGCTATCTTCAAATATATTGATTATATTTGTTTTAATAAATAACTCTTATTTCATATTAGTGTTAGTATTGAAATTAATTTAGTTTATAAAATATTTAAAAATGTATCAGAAATCAGGAAAAATAGAACATATGTACAACAATCAAACAAGTTAATAAAAATAATCAGAATTATAAACTGGTAATAATGAGTACAGATTTAAAAATCCTAACTTAGATTCATAGATTAGATACACAAATAGAGAATTGTTTATGTAAGGTGGCACTAATAGTACTATGAAGGATCATCAAAAGCCTAAGATATTTGATACCCAAAATTAAAGTTCTGCAATTAAGAACAATTAATTTGTAACAAGATTTCCTTTTTAAATTCCAAATAGCCCATAATGTGATCGATAAGATCAAAAACCTAATGATAATGTGAAAAAATGTTATACAACCAACATTAATGGCAGTCAATAAATGCCATATAATAACTAACATAATAACAACTATTATTAACAGAGAATGGTGTAAATAGAATAACAATCAGATATCAATCAAACACTACCTATTAATCATTAAATATATTCTTATGATGTAGCTTAATAAATGGAATCAAAGTATAAGAACAGTTTTTCTTAAGAATAGAATAAAAAATCTGAATAAAAATACAATGGAAATACAGTCCCTTTCTATGATTAATTGGTTGAATAAAAAGATTAATTTTAAGAAGTTTTAATAAAAAGTAAATTTGAGGATCATCAAAAATAGAGCCATGATTAAATAAAACATTAATATGTTGAATAATCAATTATAATATCAGAATGTAATTTAATGGAATTGAAAAATAGAGAGATTTCAACTATTAAAAATTTTTAGAAAACTATAGGGATAATTAAGACTGAAAATTAAAAGGAATCTCCAAATAAATAATATATAGAAGTTGAGAAAATACAATCTTAACCTATAAATGAAATAGTATTATAAAATTAAAAGAGTATTGATTAAACATAAACAGGAAATAAATTGATTGAAACAATAAAAGTAAATTGTATAGAAAATCTATAATGTCAAGAAACAATGGAAGTAGTGAAATTTTATGATGATGATGATGAGAAAAATATAGAAGAGCCAGTTAAAGTTAGCAATTTTGTGACTGCAAAAATATAATAGAGAGGAGAGAAATGTATTATTATTATTAATTAGAACTTCAATAATTTAATTAAGTAAATCAACCAAGTTAACGTTGTTCAGCTTTAGAGTTTGAAGTATTAGAGAAGATGAACTAAGTTCGTTAAAATAGATTAAATGGAATGAAAGTAGATTATTTTGGAGTTGTTGAAATTTTAGAAAAATCAGATTGTATAACAGATTTGGTAGCTGAGAAATCAATTATATAATTAATCATTACTTAATTTCCTGTAAATATTATATAAATAGATTTTAGTATTTAAGAAGAGTAAGAGGTGATGGTAATTGCTTATTTTCAAGTTTACTTTTTCCATATTTAGAATTGATTTATATTAATAATCTATTTGATGCTGTACTGAATTAGTTTGTTGCACATGAAATATATTGGAATAAGTAAATATTTTACAAAATGAAGGGCTACGATGATTGATAGACCTATGGTCTTTACTTTGATAAAGAAAATCTTTTAGGAGTTAAAAAAGTTTAGTAAAAAGTATAGTAATGATTTGATCTTGTTTTCAGAACTTATACTACATTATATCAATAAAATTAATGGGTTTTATGACATACTAATTATATTTATGCGATCAACAATAATACAGAGTTATAAATTATACTCTAAATAAGGAGAATATTAATATTTTTTAGATGAAAACACATCAGAAGAATTCTTAGAGAAGAATAGTAGTTTTGAAGAAGAAGGAGATTTTTTATCAATTTAGTTCTTTTGTGAAATTACTTAATTGAAAGTTAAATTGATTAATTTTTCAGATAAACATCCAATTTAGTCCATGTAAATACTTGAACCTAAAATTAATAAGGTAAGGAATGATCAAAATAACTTTATTACTTTGAAATATAATGAGGGCCATTACGATATTCTTTATTCAAGAATGTTGAAATAAATGTAAATTAAATAGGAAGAGAGGCCACTTCCATAAATATAATTTACTCCTTTATATTGATAATTATAAATCTCTTTTAAATAATTATTATATTGTTTTATATAATTCTTACATCTCAAACATAAATGTAAAACTGTAATTATAAAAAATTAATAAATGAAATGCTTTGAACACAGTGCACCTTATACTCTAATTTGTTAAGTCAAAGATTGCAATTAGAAATTGTTGTGTAATCAATGTATGATCAAACATAATGCTCAACATTATCCTATGATTTAAAGTTTATCAGATATGGATTATCAAATTAAATAGGTTCCATAATTGCTTGAAAAAGATCTTGATACTCTCAAAGCCAAATTATATTCTATTCAAAATCATATGACAATTGAAAAGGACTAACTTAAAAAATAATTAATCAAATTATCTGATGTTCTGAAATCTCGAATAAATGCTGAAGTTGATGATTTTTGTTCTTCTGCTTTAGAATATACAAATTCATATTATAAATAGTATGAAACTGATATAGGCAGTTTGCTTGGAGTAATATCTGAACACTTAAATATGGTAGCTCCTTACACAACAAGAGTAAGACCAATAAACGAAAATTAATTTGGAATACTAATGGATTTTCAAGAAAAGATGCTTGGCAATATTTTACCAACCTTAACAAAGAAGGCTGAAATAATTTCTAAACAAGTTCTCGAGAATCAGTTATATATGCGAACTGATCATTTTTATGCAATCGTTAAAACTGCTCTAGGAAAAGCATTGTAGTCTTATAATTTATTCAAGAATAATGAATTTTAAATAGAATAAAAGAGAGCCATGAATTTACAAACTGAATAGGAGCCAGAATTAGTTAAATCAGCAATTTATCCAATGAGTGAATTTAAAAGAAATGCTATAGAGTTATTAAGAGATCATTAACAATAAGAAAGAAAGTCTGTAAGAATTTATAAAGCAGAAGAAGGGTTTAATCTACCCAAAAATAGAAGTTCAGCAGAAAACAGTGGAACTAGATATATATATGCAAAAGCAATTAACACAGTATTAAGTGGACATACAGATATTGTGACTTGCATTTGTATATTTTCTTAATCTTCTTTAATCTCTGCAGGAGGTGGAGGTATTATAAAAATATGGGATATTGATGGAGGTTTGGCATTGGGATAGATGAATGAACATGCAGGAGATGTTTGGGCATTAGTTAAAATTAATGAAAGTAATTTTGGTAGTGCCAGTGCAGATCAAACAGTGAGGATTTGGAATTATTAAAGAATGATATGTGAAAGTGTTTTAGTTGGACATTTGCAACCTGTTAAAGCTTTAGTTTATTTAAAAGATTTAGAATATTTAGCATCTGGAAGTTTAGATAGCACAATTAAAATATGGACAACAAATAGGCCAAAGTTAAAACTCACTATGTAAAATAATTAAAAAGTTAGAGCATTATGCTATATTTAAGCTAAGGGACTTATAGTTAGTGGAGGTGAAAATACTTTAAGTGTGTTTAATATATTAAATGGTTATTGTAGAGATTAATTAGAAGGACATACTGGAGAAGTTTTATGTTTGAAATATCTATAAGAATCATTAATGGGAGAATTTATGTCAGTTATTGCTTCTGGAGGAGCAGATAAAAAAATTATTATTTGGAATCTTGATAGAGGTATTAAACTCCACATTTTTGTTGGACATTAAGAAGCAGTCACTTGTTTAACATTTGATATTGAAAATAGACAGTTATGGTCAGGAGGAGCTGATAGAACTATTAGATGTTGGGATATTGCACAAGGAAAATCTATCTTAACTGCAAAAAGACATTCCGAACAAATTAGTGCTCTTGAATATATGTCTGGTAGAGAATTAATCATAAGTGGAAGTTGGGATCATAGAATAAGAATTACATAGAGATCCATTTTAATGAATTGATTATTTTGTCATTTTTATTGTTATGAATAAATTCATTAACTTCCTCTGCATATTTTCTTCTTGGTTTCTAAATCAGGTTAAACTTAATAATTAACTTTATTTCTATTTTTTAGTTTTTTAATAAAGGTTTCAAATTCTCTAACAGTTACTTATAAAAAATGATTGGGTTCTTATACTTCTATTGAATAGGCAAATTAAAATATATCATTATAGGCAGAATATTAATTTTTTATATCAGCATTTACCTCTAGAAAATTGAATTAATCTTTTCTATAAATTAAATTAAATAAATCCACTAATTTTTTATCATCGATTTCTAAATGATATTTAAAATAGATGTAAATAATAAATGTTTTTTTTGTTTCCTCTAATTTGTTTAAATATTTTATTTATTTTAATTAGCCCTATAAATATTCAAATACATCATTCTAATTTTTTAAATGAGAAACTTCTATTTATTTATTCAATTTATAAACCAATATCTAATTAATCCATCCAACAAAGCATAAAATATTCATATGAGTCTAATTAAAATTTATTTATTTATGTTAGTCCTACTTTTATATTTTGAGCTTTTCAACAAAATCAATAATGTCATGTCCATTTTTAATAAATTCTTCTAATCCTTTAAAATTTTCTTATTTTTGAAATTTTTCAATCAAATTTTAAATAAATTTGATACATTATCGGGCATTCATATTCTTAAAATTTAGTATATATTCGAAATAATCATAATAAGGCTAAAGGATTTTATGTTAAAAGCAACAATTTTTTATTTGATTATTAAAGTTTCTAAAACGTTATTAATCATCTTTTTTTATTTAAATGATTTCAACCCATTATTATCCAATGATAATTTTGAATTCTTAAGTAAATTTTAAATAATCTTCAGGGTCTAATTTTTATTCTATTTTTTTAAAAAGAAGATTTTAAATAAAATTCTTCTAAACTTTTATTAAAATACTACATATTTATTGTTAAGAATCTTAGAGATTTTGTTATTCTTCATATCCCTTAATTTCAGGAGCGCTAGATTCTTTTTCTATTTGAAGTTTTAATGAACCCTCTTCAATAATAATTGCATCTTCTTATGAAAGATTTGGAGTTGTTTAATTTTTTTTGGCATCATGTTTTTGTGATTGATCCTATTTTTGTGATTAATCTTATTGTTAAGATTGATCTTAATTTTGTGAATTATTATATATTTGAAAACCTTTCTCATTATCTGATGACTCATTTTATTGTGGAGAAAATGATAAATCCTTTTAAGGGGATTTATTAAAGTTTAAGATGTCTGATTCAGGTTCTTGATGCGATTGATTATATAATTCTAAATGTGACTCGTTTTCATTTTTTTGCATTTTATTAAATAAATGATATTGAATTAAACCAAAATAATTGGATTTATTATGACAAATATAGAAAAATTATTATTTTCATACAAATTATATTATTATTTATAACTCAGTCTTTAAAAAATATGTTTTGCAATAATTGAACAACTTTTATTGGAATGCAGGACGAATTTGGAGAAATGTAAACAAATTTATAAATCCAAATATTTGTTTTACAAAGACTTAATATTTAAATATGAATTATTATAATAGCAATAGAGATAATTTTGAACTTGCATTCAAGTATAATAATAAACAATTTAGCTAGAATATATTAATTAAACTCATTAAAAAATTTAGATGATTCAATATTAATTCAATTTTTATTTGATATTTTCGATATTTAAAAAACATTCTGGGTCTTAATTATATATTTTAAGATATTAAGCTAATTTTATAAGATTTTTTGCATCTTCACTTCTACAACAAACAAAATAATCTCTTAAATTAATATCCCATGGCGAAGCTCTACAAGCAAGTAATAATCTAATTATTTGCAAATTATCAGTCACCAAAGCGAAATAAAGTGGTTTTTAAAGAAAGAAATCTTCTGAATTTACATTAGCTCCATAATATAATAGTAATTTGACCATTTCAATTGATTAAATCATAACTCCTATATGGATGGCACATTATCCTTATTCATTAAAAGAACCTATATAAGATTTATCTTAATCTAACATTTGTTTAACTGCTTAGATATTGTTATACTATACAAATCTCAAAAATGCAATAGAACCAGGCATTTAATATGGTACTAATTGACAGAAATTTTAAAGTAACTATTATATTTAAAAAAAAATAAATACATCCAAAACAAATGTTCTTTATTTTATAGCTTTTTTTGCTAAAATTTTCATTTTTCGAATAATTCTTCTTTTTTTTACTTTCTTTTCATAATAAATGGGATAGAATTCAATAAGTTCTTCATCATCTCTTTTTTTATCAATATCAAATACTGTTTAAGAATAGGATGATATTAATTCTGAAATCTAACTCTTATTTATTTTTGTTATTTTTTTTGTGTATCTATGTGGTTTAAATATAATTGTTTATGGTATTTCACTATTGAATTCTTATCTTATTTATTATTTTTCTTTCAATTTTTATACATTTTATTCTTTTTAAGGAGATTCATTATATTATTTAACATAATTATCAAATTAATCATCTTTTCTCATTGACTTTTATTCAATTATAAATTATAACCATTTATTGCTTAAAAATCTATCTAATCCTACTCTTGGATCTGTGCTTTTCCCAAATCCCATTTTTGTGAAATTATCTAATGCAGGACTAGGTTATTTTAATTATCTAATAGATCTTTAAGATTTGAGTTGTAATTAAGTTTTCATAGATAATGTATTGATATTTTTAGTTTATGTAATGAAACATTTAAGTGTTTCTGATGGTTTTTTTAGATTAGCAGGCGATGGATCAAATTAATCATCTAAATCTTTTAGAATCTTTTAAGAAACAGATGTTTATTATTTTTAAAGTTTCCTTCCACTATTTTTATATGTTGTTTTATTATTTGATCCAACTAATTCTTAAACTTTCTTAATATCCTTGCTTTTAACATTATTGTAGCTATTATTTTCATTTTTTAGGTTGCTTGTTACGATTTATCTCATTTGCATTGAATTCCTTGATCTTGCAGGTCCATGAGGTGAAAAGAGATGAGAGATCTGATTAAAGGATTTGGGAGTTAACTTTGATTTTTAAAGTGTTGGTGATGTAATTGAAACAATAGGTTAAGAGACAATTTATTTTGGATCCTCTGTAACTTAAGTCTCCAATTCTAAGAATTACTTTTTAAGGAAGTTATTATCAGTAACAGTATTTAGAGTGAATAATTTATCTATTGATTGTTGTCGTCGTTATTCAAAGAATTCCTTAAGTTTTCTGTTTAGAAAATCCCAATTCATAAAATAATAAATTGCATATTTCTAATTCTTATATATTCAATTATCTATTCAAAAAAGGTTTGTCATAATATGATCTATCTATTCATGATATAGAGTATTGATTTCAATATTCATAGATATTCTATTGCAATATATCTTTTACTAAATCATAATAATATTCATTATATAAAGATATTTTCAATTTCTAATATAATAAAAATATATAAATATATGAATTATTCATTATCATTTAACAATTCTATTAATATTTGAGAAATATTTAAATTAATTCAATTTTAAGGATTATGGAATACAATAACTCCTTAAAGTTAAGAATATTATTTCTAATCCTAAATGAATATGATTATTTCAATATTTTATATTATAAATAAAATTGATTAGAATGATCTATTTTTGTAATCAAAATAAGATACATTGATCTGTAATTTTTAAATTTTGAAACTTTAGAGAAGAGTTTCAAAAAGTTAGAGAAGCACTATTAAAATTATTTATACAGTTTCTAATTGTGGGTTGAAAATGGTTCCAATTGATATATTTAATAAATCATGAATTAATTACCTCTTGATAGAGTAAAATAATTAGAGAGTAACTCTGGTCTGAATTCTCCTTTAAGTTTGACTTTCAGATTGTCAAATGCGATAAGATATCATTGTCGGCAAACAAAAAGATAAAAATCAAGAAGTTAATAAAAACCTTTTGTTTTACAATAAAAAACAATAAGAGGTCCATTTAGAAGGAAAAGTTGCTACTGCGATGAATGTGGATAATTAGGGACATTTTAATATAAATGTATGAATATTAAAGGACCAAAACCATATAGAAAAGCAACTCTTACAAGAAGAGCATCTAATTAACATATGTATTATATTATATTTGATTGGTTAGATAATCAGCTTAACCTAAATCTGTGTAACGTATCAAGCAAGCATTAAAAAAAATGAAAACTTATGATGAAAGTAAAATAAGTGCAATTCAAGATAGTAATAAAAATACTTAGAATTTGTAAGTTATATAAGAATAAATGACAAAATTGCATTCTTATTTCTCAAGACAATAAAAATAATAATTAAAAGTGTATTAATTAGCTTAGTATACCCCAAATTGTTCTCCAAAGCATTCAAAAACTCCAAGAAATTTACCTTATTTATCTCCTTATGTGAACCTTAGAAAAATTGATTCATAATTGTTAAAACCATTAAAGCCTACTCAATTAATTTAATAGAGATCGTAACTATTGGCTTTGCATAGAACAAAATATCATTAGAAAACATTATCAACTGTTAGTCAATTCTGAAACTATTAATTCTTTTTAAATAATAGTTAGTATTATCATTTATATAGATTTGAATCAGTATGTCATAGTATTAGAGATGAAATAAATATTAAATTTAATTAAATGATCATCTCAAATATGACTCAAAATATTTCTCGAGTTTCGGATAAGACGTTAACAGAAACAAACTTAATTGTCTACTCATTGAATAAGTTTAAAAGAAGTAGTTTAACAAACAGAAATATACAACTTAATAAGGAAGATTTAATATAATCAGATGAAACCTAATTAAGAAGAAAAAGTTGCTATTGTAGTGAATGTGGTCAACTTAGTTAATTTCAATATAGACATCTAAATAACAATGTTTCTATTAAGAAAATAAAAATCTTTTCAAAGAATTCAATGATGAGTAAATCAATGAAAATAATGTAAAATTCATTTAAAATTATAAAATTTTAGTCCTACTTCTAATAGATAATCAATACTTATTTAAAGACATTAATTTCGAATGAATACTTGCCGAGAGATTTAATTATCTCATGTTTATAATAAATCACCTGCAGCAAGATTGACTCCAATGAAGGAAAATACAATAACAATTAATAAAATTAAAGAGTAGTATTATAATGAACTATTGGAATAAATGAAGAAAAAGAATCGATTGAATTTTCATTAACTTAGTTTACCTTAAACAAAAAGAGATTAAGAACTTTTATAGAATAAGAAAAATATATAAACACCCTAAATTCATCGGAAATAGAAACCAGATATTAGACCATATTTTAGTCATTTAAAATTGAAACCAATAAATTAAAAATTCTAAACTTCTCACTTTGAAATCTGAATTCTAAATATAAATTTATGTCATTTACTATGATTACCTACTATTCTTAGTATTGATTCCTATATCTCTTGTAATTATTAAGGGTGTGACTATTGAATATATTATTTTAATGTTTGCCAATGAGCATTTGAATTCATGTTCAAATCTTAACTATTATTTAATGTGAATAATAGACCAAAAAGTGATTAAACTAATGGTTTTAATTCTAATAATAATGAAATCATAAGATAAATATTTACAATTATCCTTTTCTAAAAATGAAAACTTTTAGCTTAGTAATGAATTTAATTAAGAATTGATTTTTTCCTTTCAAATAGAATCAAACATATATACATCCTATTATTTATGAATGATCTATTTTATTTCAAGATTTTTCTTTTCTTCTTCAGGTTCAACAATATTTTGGTCTAATTCTCTTTCCATATAGGCCAAAGGCATACTCAAGACTTTATCAAGATTATTGTTCACTTATTACAAAGCTTAAAATATATTAATAAAGTATATTTACAATAACCACTTAATCCTCTCATTCTAAATTTAGTCATAACATGTTTAGAAGCAGAATCAAAATTTTTTATTTATTATAATGACCATTGATAAAGTGCCTTAAATTCTTAATCTTCAATAAGCAATGGTTCATCTTACAATTTCTAACTTAAAGATTTCAAGTGTCCAACCAAAGCATATTTTCTAAAATAAATATGATGATACTTACCTTTATAAAATCCTAATCATAAATGCAGCAGCATAATGATCCAATTCTTATACAATACTTGATATCAAAGTATTTTTATTTTCATTTTGTGTATTGAAACTTAATTATTATTACATATCAAATCTATCATCACTCATTTATTTGCTAATGAACTTCTCTTCTCTTACATTAATAATTATTGAAAAAAATACAATTAAATATTTTGATCTGATATTTTATGAACTCCTAATTCAGATTATTAGAATTTAATAGTAATAGTAGGTAGATTAGTAGATAAGATAGATCCAACATGAACATGTTTACATATTGGATGAACAGCATAAACTGTTTAACCAACATTAAATGATGCCAATCTTACTATATCATGTATTAAATCTAAATTTCTTATGTCTCTATGAATTGGATAATTTTAATCAAATAAGTAATTTCTAATAACAGATCTATATTTTGTTAATTTACTCATTTCTTATTATAAGAAATAAAATGAAAATCTTCTAGGTTATCCTACTGCCTATTAATTTGAAATAAAGTTCTACCATTTTAATCATTCTCCATTCAGTTATTGATTTTGATCCTAAAGGAATATTAGCTTTAGTTAACATCTATTAAAATTCATTTAGACTAAAATAAGTATAATCTAAATGTGAATAAAAATATTCATGTTAAATCCATTTACAAAACTTGAATTTTAATTAAATATATATACATTAAGACTTATGTTTTTGTTATCATAAACACATTGATTATTGAAACATTAGGTTTAACTGAAATAATAGGTCATTTCCTTTACATTTTCATTCATATCAAATTTTTAAGGAATAGACTTACGATCTTGTGTTTATGCAATAATGTATACAATTTTAATTTTTCTTAATCTTCTTAATAGGTTGTATATCATAAGGTTCATTTTATTCATAATGATCTCGTAATATCAAATACAAATCATGGGCGGTACAATTTTAATTTGATTCCAAGAAGTTTTTATTCTTCATCCATAATTAATCTTACCTTCTTATATACAGATAATAAATTTGTTATTGTTCGTTGATATCCTAATTGTCTCAAAGTCTCTTACATTCTTCCAACTCCTGCCAATTATAATTATCTAAAGACTACAATCAACTTATTCATTCAATTATACTCTTTAAAAACACTTCCAATTCGATTTCATTCCATTATTGTCCTAAATCTATTCTAAGTTTTGAAATATCTATTTATTCAGGAAATTCGTTCATATAAAAATTAATATATGTATTAAAACATCATTTATTAAATACAATAACATTTCTATGTCTCTCTACATGTTCCAATAATTATTCAATATCCTCTACACTCACTTCCATATCTTAAGCTATGCTTTTTAAATGAATCTTAAATTTATCAAATTGTTAATCAGAGATATTTAGATTTCTATGCACTTCAATTAAATCCCTAAAATCATCATATTTAATATCCTACCTTCCAGTATATTGAGTTTTCTTATCTCCCATCATTTATGAGAAGAATCGCTTTTATTGATATCTGACTCTACTCATATCTGCTTTCAGAAATTTGTCTCTTAAAAGCTTATCAAACAACACCTTGTAGTAAAATTAATCAATCAACTCAGAAACCTGTTAATCGCCACCAAAACGCTCATATAAGCAACCTTATTATTTATCCATTATTAAATTTTAATATATGTTCAAATAATATCGCACTTAACTATCAGAATATGTTGCGTATTAAGCATTAACATATTGCAATCAAATCTTATAATCTTATATTTTTCAATTCAAAATAACAATAAAACTACTTATTTTTTTTTTATGATATAAGCTAAACTAATGATTAATGCAGTTTTAACTGAATTATTCATATAAACCCAGAACAAACTTCAATAATATTAATGTAATATTTTCAATAATACGTATTAATTAAATTTAATATAACAATTTTAATATTAATAATTTAAATTATTTGTATTTTTATAAAAAGGCTTTCTAAAAAGAAAATTTATTGTGATTATATACATATTATAAACTACAGTTTAATTTATCATATTCTATTAATAAATTGAACTGAATATTCAAATTATATGACTAAATAACATTATTCATATTTAAATTTATATTCAAATTCATATTTTTTTTCATATAAATATGAGTATAAGAAATAATTTTTATTCTAGAGAATAGGAATGAAACTTAGAATCTCAACCAAAATTAATTAAATTATTACTTCAAATTATTTTTTGAGGATTAATAAGATAACACTGTGATTATTTAATTACCTATCATATTTAAAGAAATGAGAATATAATATTTTAAATATTTTTGACAAATTTTGTTTTCAAAAGGTATATGGAATTTATATCGAAATTACAAAAGAATCACTACAGAAATTGGTTATTTAAACTGAAGGAATTTTTTTAATAAGTCTTTAAATTAGTATTTTTTAAGACTATTTTAACAAATTTTCTAGACTTGTTTCTTATCTAAGTATAAATTAATCAACAGAATTTTTTTATTTTGTTCCATAAAAAATACTAATTTAAACTATTTAAATTTATGATTTCTGATTCCTACAAGCGCATAATATGTGTTTTACTAAAAGTGACCTAGTGTTACAATTTGTAATTCTATTTGACTTTTTATCTATATTAATAAAATTTAGAATCGAATAATTTAATAATAATTAATTACAAAAGATAAAAAAAATGGATGATTTTTCTATTACTGTATGTAGTATAGAATAATGAACAATCAATTAACTTAAGTGATAAGAATCTTCATGCTAATTATTTGGATAAACAAGCTTGGGTTTTAAAAGCAAGAAATTTATAAGAGATCTTTTTAGATGATATTTAAATAGACAAATAGGGGATCAATCACTAATTAATTAATGATGATTAATCTGATATAAAATAATAATACAATCTTAAAATTACATGGAAGTCATTATGAATATTTGGAAATGAGTAAGATGTATATTATAAATTGAATATACAAGAACGAGTCAGGATGTATGAATTATGATTATTCCGATATCAGAAAAATAATTTAACTAGAATAAGGATAGTAAGACCCATTATATAAGGAGGAAGAAATAAATATAAGGATTGGGCATATTATACTAATTAGGAGATTTATTGTATTTGAATGAATGTGACTATTCTTTATGTTTAGAAATAACACTTAAATTATTGAATGTTTAATCAGAGTTAAATGAGATAGTGTTATAAATAATTATGATTTATATTTATTTAATATTTATAATATGAAAAAGTAACCACCGCCTTCAAGTTAATAACCACAACAAATATAATCAAGAATAATTCAGAAGGAAGTTTTTTGGGTCTATCAAGCTTAAAGTGTATAACAAAGTGCATTTGAATAATATTTAACTTTGAATTAAAAAGAGATCTATAATTTATAATAATAATAATAAATTGGATTCATGGAAAACATTTAATAAGTATCAAATTCAATCAATAATCATATTCATCCATGTTTATAAAACAATGCATAGGATTAATTTTTAAGATTTAATAGTATTAATGTTGATTGGTTAACGTTGAAACTAATTCATCTATTTATCAATAATAGTAATTTAATGGCAATAGATTTTAGACACAATAGATTTACAAATTAAGAATTAGATGTTGTATATTAAATTTTTGCATTTTAAAGAATTATAAAAGCATTTATTGAATATAATAGTAATGTAAATATACTTAAATTATGTCCACTTTATAATTTAGAATTTATATATTTAAGAGGAAATGAGATTGAAAATAATATAATAGTTTAATTTATGGGGAATTTACATAATAGAGTAAGAGTTTTAGAATTAGGAGTAAATAAAATAAGTCAAGAAGGTGTAGATGCTATTGCTGAATATATGGGTAAACAGAATGCTTTGGAATATCTTGGATTAGCATAAAATTGTATTAAATCATTTTAAGATATAAAATTATTAACAAATTCATTTGGAAAGAATAGAATAACAACAGAAGAATTTTCTAAGTATAAGTTAATAATTATAAAATTAGAATTTAAGAATTAGAATAATAACGTGAATTATAAATATAAAAGTTTTAGAAATAAAAAAAGAAATATACTGAAGAAATGCTTATTTAAGTACCTCCTTATGTAAAAATTGATAATTTTAATTACACTTTACAAAATCCATAATTTAAATTACTTAATCTATCAGATAATTAATTAGTGGAATAAGATAGAGATTAAATTGATAAATTCTTAAGTAGATTACTAGATACTTAATCTGTAGTATTGACAAATAATTTATTTGAACATTCAACTAGAGCTAAATTAAGGAAGAAATATAAAAAATGTGTAGTAATTTGATTCAATAAACAAATGTATAAATATTTAAATCACTAAATTTATAACAATTATTATTATGAATAACAGCAAGAAGAGTTTAATATTGATAATTCTTTCTTATATTTCAAAGTTTGTGTATCTTCAATCCAAATTGCTATTATTATAGATAAAATTAAAATTCCAATAGTTAATTTTGTGATAATGGGATATAACTTAATAGTATAATTAAAAGTTAAAACTTAAGGTATATTGTTATCAAATTGTAAAAGCAAATAGATTTCTAAGCTTAATATTATTGTAATTAAAATAATTGATATTACCTTTATAATGGTGCCACATTTCAAAGTCTAGAAATAATATATTTTGCATATAAAAATACACATTAATAATGTAATTTCAGCAAAAGACAATGGCCAAATGAGATGTAAAAATTAACAGTTTTCACAATCTACATTGAAAGTTTCATATTAACCATCATAATTTAAACATCTTTCTTTTCCATTGAATGAGATCGTACATATCTTAGGTGAATATATCTCATATATATTTGTGAAAAATAGTGTAAACTCAAATACAATTGCAACACCCAACATTATCATTTATAAAATTAGTGATACTTTTACACTATAAGGAATATTTGCTTTCGTCATTTAACTATATTCTTAATTCATTTTAATACACTATATTTATTTTATTAATTCCTAGATCATAGATAAGTCATATATTTATATCAATTTAATCAGTTTCTTCATCTGATTAGAAATGTAATAAATAAAATAGAATATGAATATCAATCTCAACAACTAAATTAAAATGAATCTTAAAAGTATTAATTAGATAGAATATATAGTAATTTATATTGATGTGATTGTTTGAATACCTATGATAGATTCAAACTTTAAATTAGAAATCATATATACTATAGATCTAAGAAGAAGTATAAATTAATAAGAAAACCATAATTGATTTAATTTAAATCAATTAGGATTTCTAGAAGCAAAGAAATTCGGAATTTCAATATATCCTAAATATTGATACATTTATAAATAGCATTATAAAGTTGAAACAAATATAAATTTGATTAGTAATATTATTCATCCTAATTATAATTGAAAATAGTAATAATAGATATTAAATATATGATTTGTCAAATGAATATATTATCTTGATGTAATATATTGAAATATTATTAAAAAAATAATTAATAATTAAATAATAAAAAATGCATTAAAATAATGCTGATCTAATTAGACCTGGATGTAGAGGAGGACATGATTAATTCAATTGGGAATCTTTAAGAACAATGAAATATCATGATCGAGAATAATATTTAGGATAAACAACAATTATTGGTTATTTGGATAAGGGGGGAAAGTGGAGAAAGAAAGATTGGTACATTAAACCAGAAGATCGTAATGAATTGGATTTTAAATGTATAAGAATATATTTATTATATTATAGAATTGGATGATGAATTTAAAAGAGCCAAAGAAGAAGATGAAAGAAGAATAAGAATAGCATTAGGATTGGAATAACCAGAAGATTAAAAATAAATGCAAGTAAAATTGACCAAAGAGGAAATGACTTAATTAACAAAAAAGTCAAAAATTGATTTTGATGATGAATTAAATAATGAGAAGAAAGGATTAGGAAATGGTCCTATGTAAAAATAGACTAAGAATACAGAAGCATAATATTTATTAGAAGCTTATGGTCATTAAGATTAATACTAAGTTTAAGTTAAGAAAGAGGAAGATGGATGTATTGAAAAGAAGATTAAGAAAGAAAAAAAGAAGAAAGAAAAGAAAGAGAAGAAAAGTAAGGAAGAAAAAAAGCATAAAAAACATAAGGATAGTGAAGATAAAAAAGAGAGGAAGAAAAAGAAATGAAAATTATATACACTAATATATTTTAATTAAGTAATTAGTTGTTTCAATATAAGTTGTTGATAAAGATTTTTTATTAATTTTAAAGTAATACTCAGAAACCATTTAACAGTTATTTTAATAGTAATAACTTTAAAATATTTCTATTATTCTGTTAATTACAAACTTTTTAAAGATTATTTATCTAAATTTTTCTAACATCATATGATGTTTTTTATACTATAACTCATCGAAACAATATTTGCATTTTGGGAACTCAAATATTAATCATCCTTAAAATACCCTTTATAAAAATTACATTATTTTCAAATAAAATAATGATATTGCTTATTTCTAAATAGAGAAAGAGAATAATCATTTATATATTTCTTATAATATACAGACTTTATTCAATAATAAGATTTTCTTGTTGCATGGTATTTATTATTCAGCCTATAGCAAATTTACATAAATTCCAGAATTCTTATAAATTCAAATTATTTTTACTATTATTAATGAATACAACTAATTAGTTACAATACTATTATGTAAAATTTATTTAGGAACTAAACTAGTTTTTTTATATACACTCTTTAAAAAAATTGAATAAATCTACAATTAGCTTTGCAAAGAGACAATATTAATCAATAATGAAAACTTCACTAATATTTCTCTATATTTCTACTACTTGGTTGCACAATGTCAAAACAAATCATTGTAAGTCTACAACATATTAAATAAAAAAGGTAAATAACTTAATTAGAGAAATACATCAGATTAATCTAATATTCTTTTTATATATAATGAATTATTAGCATATACCTATATAGATATAGAATATAAATTTCATATCTACATAAAAAAATTAACTATCTAGATAGGAAGATTTTATGTAATTTGTGTAATCTTTTTGATAGATTATTTTCAGTGAAATATTTATAGAATTGATTAGCTATTTTTAATGATTTTAATTCATCTCTCAATATTATCTACTATCAATCATATTATTTAAATTTAAAAATCAGAATGAAATATTTATATAACAATTAAGATGATTATGTATTTGCTATTTTCACAAATAAAGCAATTAGTTATAATAAATTTTAAGTTTGAAAATAAATTTTCAAAGATCACATTCTTAGTATGAAATTGGAGAAAGAATATTTTTAAATAGAAGATGTAAATTTTAATAATTAAATTTAAATTCTACTTAAACACAATTAAACAAATTTATTGGCAATAGATTATTATAGTTAATGTTTAATAAGTTCACTAAAGAAAACTAATTAAGAATGTTCTTTATGTTTAAAAGAAATCTTTAGTAGGAATTTCATATTTAGATGTTGAGAGATCTTTATGTTAAAAAAAAAAGTATACTATCCTACCGATAGAAGAAACTGAATCTTCAGGTTCAAGCTTTTCTGGTTTTTTGTTTTTTTATTTTGTTCAATTTGTTGTAGGGGATGTTGTAGAAAATAATGATAAACTAAAGTCTTGTAAAATTTCATGATCTTATAATAACATATTTATTATTATATTCACAATTATTATTTAATCTCTAGAAGTATTAATTAGATATGTCCTTCATTTTATTTTGTAATAATTAATATTTCAACAAGATAAATATTTCTTATTATTAATGGGATCATAGTGTTGTGTATAAGAGCGAAGCATCAATAGAGCATCAATAGCTTCTAAGGCAATTCAAGATGAGTTAGAATACATGAAAGAATTAACCTTCTGTCAGTAAAGAAGACAAATCTTAGTATATGAAGACAAACCTATATTTTATTTTCTAAGCAAAATTGAATTATTGAATGATACCATTGCCACTGCTTATTCATTGAATGAGAGGGGAACTGCTAATGAATTTGATTAATATCAACAAATATCAGATGAAATTGTGAAGGAAATACAAGATAAATGTGATTATGGTATAACTCCAATTGATGATTGGATTATTTTAAGTGATAATGTGAATTCAAAATCCATGTTGAAATTATTTATTAAATAAATCGAAGTTGATAATTAAACAAAAGTTAATGCAACAAGATGTGAATTTATTGTTCCTGGAAAGCCTTAAAATTTTATTGAATTTATGAGTAGTTTTCAAAAATAAAAAGAATTAGATTCTCGAATTGATGCTTTCTATCCTATTAAAAAGAATGAAGAAAATAAAGAATCAGTTATTTACTTAAGTTATAAACCAATATTAATGACTTCTGCAAGAGAATTCATATATTATAAGAAAACGAAACAAATTGACACAAATGTTTTTATATAATGTTTATTAAATAGGTTTGGTGTGACGTTAGTAAATCTGTTACAGATTCCCAATATCCAATAAGAAATAAAGTAAGAGGTGAAATTTTGCTTAGTGGCTATTTAATTTAACCACTCTCAAATTTAATAAATAATGATTACATTAAAAATAGGTATATGTATTTATTAAATAATAAAGATTCAAAAATAAAAATTTTGATGATTACTCCTTTGTTAGAATGTACTCTTTATGTGATTTCAAATTATCAATTCCTCTTTACATGGCCAAAGGACAAGTTAAATAGGAAATGATTAAATATATTGATTTAGTATATGAAAAATTATAATGAGAAATAAATATTATTATTATTTATAATGTATAGTAATTTTATTCTTTTGATATACCAAAGTTCATTACTTTTCATCATAAAAATCTAATCTTTCTAAATCTGTAGTTAACATATTATGAAACTTATTAAATTCTGCTTATATGTATCCCATTTATTTACTAGTTTAATGAATTTGTATTCTTTCATCTTATTTCACATGTGTTTAATAATTTGATGCAACTGAACATATTTCTTTGATCTCCTATAAATATTACGAATTACGATTAGGTTTGATATGGATAGTTCTAGTCTTTGGAGGAGGAGAAGAAGATGAATTTTATTATGAATTATTAAAAGAATGTTAACTTTTTTCTTTTCTTTTTTAAGGTGCTATTGGAGTAGATATTAATTATTTGAACTTCATTTAAACAGGATTATCAGCTACAATCCCTATTTTTTGATAATACTTTTTGAATCTATCATAATTAGGATCTGCAAGTTAAGTATTAGTATTTATTTTTATTGGAGATGCAGATGAATGATTACTAGGTGCAGTAGTGATTTCACGAAGTCGAAATTCAATTGATTATCTTCGAGTGAGAAATTAAAATTTATGATGTTCTTTTGTTACTAAAGAAGGTTAGAAGATTTGACTATGTTTTGAGATACTTTGTCTTGATTTTTCAATCAAAGATTTATAATTGTTGGACATTATAGCCCATTTTTCTTCAGTTATTTCATCCAATTTTATAATTGGGTCTATGACAACCTTTTAAAATGTTTTTTAAAACTATAATTTCTTCTTCTTAGGTTGTTGATTAAATTCTACATCATGTAAAGGTGCCTACACTTCTTCTGCACTTTTTCTTCTTACCATATACTTGATTACACTTGGACTTTAATCTGCTTTTATATTCTCCATTTTCTTCTGAATTAATTTCAACTTCTTAAACTAAATGATAAACATATTATTTACATATTCTTATTTAACCTTTGTATTCTACTCCATTAAATTTATTAAATGGAATAAATTCTAATTCTAATAAAATAACTTTACAATGAAAATGAGGAAATAAGAAAGTTGTCTGAAGAAGAACTGAATAATATATTTAATGATTTTGAGAAAATTAAGATTGGATTTGAATGCTTATGTAATTAAAATATTGAGAAATCACTTAGAGTATAATTTTTTATCTATTTGAAACATTACCTTTAATAAAATTACAGAACCATATTAATCAATCATAAGGATGATATTCTTAATATTTTACTATTTTACTTAAATAAAGTGGATTAGTAAATAATTCCATTATTATGTAAGTTAATCAATTTTATGATTTTAAATACACCTGACTCCACATAAATTATAATATGTATAATGGATAAACTACTATTAGATATTTCTTATATTTAATTAATTACTGAGATGATGAGCAATCAAATTGTTAAAATAAAATTAAAATTATCAGGATATAAATATAATTTTAGTAAGATTTATTAATTCTTTAACATCAATGATTATAACATTATTGATTTAATACTCAATTTTTATATATCTCTTACTAATTCTTTAATTTATTTATTAGAAGATAATGATTATATTACTATTATAAATTAATATTGTTCATTTATTTCAAATAATCCATAATAATCAAATATACTTGGAAAGTTTTCCAAAATTATCATACGACTTATCCAAAAAAAACTACCCCCAGAACATATTCAATAATAACTATTTTCTATTATTACATATAATTATTTAGACAGTTAATATCATTTAGATAGAATCACTGCTTACAGACTTTTAAAAATTCTAAATCAAATACAAACATCTTAAAAGATTAATTATCAAAAATAAAGAGAATTATTAATATTTATTGTCATTAATATAATTTACTTAGATCTACATTCATATTAATATTTATATTTAAATTTTGATGATGAGAATGAAAATGATTATTATTTACTTAAAATTAGAAATTTTGGTATTGATATGCTATTGACTATTTTAAAATAGGATTAATAAAATAAAATATTCCAAGAAATTTTACTTATTTCTGATTAAGTTGTACCTTTTCATACAAATGAAGAAAGTATTTGTATTAAAAAAGAAGCTCATTATTATATTATATCAAACTTATTTTATAAAATACCTATTCATCAAATAGATTAACTTTTTTTACAAGAATTACTTTAATGTCTCAAACAAACAAATAATATTTATATACCTATAAAGATTTAAGTATTGATTCTCTTAAAAAGATTCCTCCTAAAATAAATCATATAAAATTAATCTTAAATTGATTATTTATTATCAATTCTTAAAGAATAATTATAAATTATAGCTTAAATTAATAATCCAAATTTATTATGTGCTATGATAGATTTATTAGTTTGTTTACAATTGTTCTATCCTTAAAAAAACTGTTTGAATAAATAAATATATTTAGATTTAAAATTATACTATTCCTTACAGAATAAATTAATTTTTAAATAATCTATTATTAAATGTATGGTTGAATTAGAATAACTGCATTTAGGAGATAATTCTCTCATTTTAATTGTTTAATAAGAATTATTAAAAGCTCAATAAGAATAAAATTTCTAAAAATATTAATTAAGTAATTTTTTTCATTATTATAATTTAGAAATGTTAATAGATGTAATGAGTTTTATTGTTGAAAAATAGTATACATATTAAATAACACTTTATTTAAATATTATTTACACATTGGTTCATAGTTCTCTTTAATAATTGAAACATTAATAAGCTAGTCTAAATTTATTAAATTTATTTTTGAAAAAGTTATTAATTCAGTAAGAAATTAAATCAAATGATCATGAAATATCAATAAGAATGATTTAAATATTATTTATAGATTGTTTGGATGAAGACCCAGATCTTTTTGAGAACATTGTATAAACATATTATCTAATTCTATTACATGATGTAGCTGATTTGAATATAGCTCTTCAATTTATAACTAAATATGTAAAACATTTAAAGAATTAAAATTTTTTGTCTTTATTTTGTTTATTTTTGTTTAGATTAAAAAAAGGATTATTCCAATAAGAAATTTAATAATTTTACAAACAATTATATGAAGATATGTAATATCTTATAATAATTAAGTGAATAAGATGATGGAAGAACAAGTAATGAACTTTTATGTGGATTGTCTATTTTAGATATAAATTAATATGAAATTAAAGAAATAATGCTTAATTAATAAGGTAAATTTAAATATAATTTTAGATGTATTATATATAATGACAAATAAAGCTATCTAATTTATAACTTATAAAAATAAGTTTTATATAAATTACTTGATAAATTTTTATCAATCAATGATTACTAAAAAGCATTTAATTTTTGATATGGAATAATTATCTTTGAATAATAGTTTTTTAGTAAAATTACATGAATTTATCACTTAATTAGTAATTAAATAAGAAGATACATAATATTCAATAATAAATCAAATATAAAAAATATTTGAAATATCTTACTTAACCAAATTATTTATTAATGATAAAATTATTTAAAAATGTATAGATTTCAAATATATATATATAGTTTAAACATCAATAATAATGATTCAATCTTAGGATGATCTAAATTTAAATGAATTAAAATTATCATGATATTTTATTATTTAAAATTACATAATCATAAAAAAATGATTTATTATTATTATTATTAAAATTAAAAATTAGTATTATTAATATGATGTTACAAATATATAAAATTCAATATGATTATTAATTTAAGTATTCTATGTAAGAATCTGGTCCTAAAATTTAGATGATATCTAATTTCAATCTCTCTAAAGCAAATACTTATTCCCTAATTTTATCATAAGCCAAACCAAAATTTTTTGTTGCTCTCAATTTAAATAAATGAATACATTTCTAAATCAATTGTTCCTTATTTAAAATAATCTCTATAATTTAGACATGGATTATGTTGAAGTAGAGGTTGAATGAACATATCTGTTCCTTTTTTGGCAGACTCCATCAATTTTTTAACTTCAATAGGAATAGATGTCTCAATTAATAGATTTATGAGTTCAGTACAAACACTCCATCTTCTTTGTGATGTTGCACCATATTATTCATGCAATTATTGAATAGCAGGTATACCATTAAGTTATGTAATTGATCTATGATAGTCTTCAATAAAGGTTTCAAGCTATTTATAAATATGATTTTTTTAAATACTTAAATATTTTTAATTTTATTTTATTAAACAATGCATTCTAATTATTACAATTGTTCTGTTAATTCTTTGACTTTATTTTCCAATAATTCTATATATATCTTTTTCCTCTTTCTAGAATTTCTAGCAGATTCCCTATTTTTAGCTAGTCTATTCTTTCCATCTGATGAGTCACTATCAACAATCACTTTTTGACGACTATCAAAATAATAAATATTTACGTTTGTTTAGGTTTGCCTACAGCAGTGGGTTTATCTATTAATTATTAAATTTTGTTAAGGTATATGCTTTTAGATTGATTGGCTTAAAAAACTTCTTTATTTTTTTTCAAGAGATCTTCCTCTTAGATTTTTTTATATTTCTACAATAATTGTCCACCAACCAATGCCTTTGATCGCTCAGGCATTATAGGCTATTATTACAATATCTATTCTTCCATAATATTACAATCATTTTCAAACATCCAATCTTATTCAGCTCTATAATCTTCATCAACATCTACAATAGAGACATTATGTTGATTTAAAATATTTAAGAAAGAATCTGATGGAACAATCTAAAATGGGTTACTCATATATTTATAATTAAAATAATATATTTCATAGTATTTATCTTTTAAAAACAAATTATAATGAAAATCAATAAGAATGAATGTCAAAAAATGAATAAGATGACAATTAGTAACAATTGTAATCCTGAACTAAAACTATAGATATCACATTAACGATCCAATTCATTAGCATTTTGAATAGTTATACATTAATTTAGTGGACTATACCAAATACAAGTTAAACTATCATAAGCTTAATTGCATTAATCTATATTAGTAAAAGTTGAACAAGATTATTTATAACAATGATCTTATTTCCATACACAACCAAAAAGATTGAAATGATCACATAAACAAGAATCTGTTATCATTGAACAACTTAAACAACCTTACTTTTCTTCTGTAATTTATCCATAAAAACATTTCTCAGATTATATTACTGTATTAAAACAATCTTCCTATTAAATCAAATAAATAATATACTTCATTCATAATCATATCACATTATTTTCTTTAACATTTATTATTTATCAATACACATTAAAGATTTTCATGATAATTGATATTTTCACATTTATCATTTTCAACAATATCAGAACAATCAGTAATCAAAGTACATTAATTATTTTAATACATGCATAATTATCCATTAATATTTCTGCAATTATCTTATGTATTATCCTTACATTATTTCATTCTACATGTTTAATCCCAAATACATTATTTTCCTGAAGGAGTTACTGAAGAACATGAAGGTGCATTATCAATATCTGAACATTATTTTACACTTATGCATCCTAATTTACTTGTTGAACATGATAATCCAACATAAGCATCTCCATCACATGGAGGAGTAGTCATTTCACAAGTCTTTATTCTGCATTGTCCTCCAGTCCATACACATTCATTTCTATATTATTTATTAGGTATTTACATTCCATTAATAACTTCCTAACATTCATATTCCTTCTTTGCTTCTGAACAAACTAATGGAACTGAACAATAGTTTAAACTAAAACAAATAAATAATAGAATCAGCTTCATTAGAAAAATAAATAATACTATTTTTAACAAGTATATAATTATATTAAATAAAAAAAATACATACATATGGAAAATAAGTAACCATATGACTACAAATTAAAATTAAAGTCTAATAATCTTAAAATTTCTTATTATTATTACAATTTGAAAATATTAAATTGTAATAATAATTAATTTTGGATGAGATTTGTAATATTTTAATAAATAATATTTAATCTTACTTGTAAATTATATTAATATGCTATTTAATATTATATATAGATAATATTACTTACATAATTGTTAAATTTTTCTTTAAATTATTATTCAATTATTTATTTAAATTTATAATAGATGTTTGACAAACACTTATAATTAAATAAAATATTTATAAAGATAGTAATGTATATTAATAATAATTTTTATAATGTAATTAGAGTAAAGAGTTTCTAAACTTGAGAAATTAACTGAACAATTATTAGGAAGAATCTGCGAACTTGAAGATTAATAAGGAGATTTATAAGATCAAATAAAAAAATTACAAACAAAAGTAAATATAATTATTAACAAATAGAACTCATAATTAGAATAGGAAATAGGAAATTTGAAAAATAGAACAGAAGAAATTTAAGAATCATGGTTGTTTTATTGTGATAAAAGTAAGATTATTCTACTTAATATATATAGAAAGATCATTAAATTCAATAAAATAAACTTTATAGATTGAGTCTGATATAGTGAAAGAATTTGATTATTAGAGTTGGGTTACAGAAGATATTATGTGGAGATAAATAATAAAGAATATATGTAAGGAGTAACAAAAGGATCTAGAGAAATTAAATGGAGCATAATTGAAATAATTGGCAGTATAAAAATTAAAAGAAAATATTGATAATGAAGTTTTATTTGTTTTACGAAATGTAAATAAAGAAAATGAAAAAATGAATGAATTAATTGAATTATGTGCTATATTTACTTAATTATGGTATGAAATAGAATTAGGTGGAGAATAATGTTAAGGAAGAATGATTTTGGTTATAGAGAGTGAAATTAATCTAGATAAATTAGAATTGACTAGATAAGATAATTCTAAAGTTATTTTGCAAATAGAAAAATTATAAAATTGAATTATAATGATGAAAATTTACAAAATATAAACTATGAATTATTTTGAATGCTTGGATATTCATTAATATTAATCATAGTTGAAATGCCAAATCTACATTTTTTATACCATCTCCAAAATAGGCATATCCAAAAATTCTAGTTCCTGCTCTATGATAACCTAAGAAACCTGGCCATTAAAGATTACGTATAGTAACCTTAAATTAAATAAAAATTATTTACTTAATATTTAGAAGAATCAGTTTATAAACTCCATTATCCTACTGGATGATCATCCAATTAATCAAAAAAGTCATAATGAAATAGAGCATCATCTTATGCAATCAATTCCTTTTTATTAGGACTTTATGGGGCTCTAAAATGTTAATAATTTATTATTTTTGAGGCTTCTTAAAGATTGAGTCCTTCAAATGAATCATTATATCTATAATTAAGTTAATTAAATTACCTTAATTCATGAGTAGGAGTCAATCTAACTGCACCAACAGGTAGTAGAGCACATTCAAATTCAATTGCATTAACCACATAAGCTAATCTATCTACTTCCAAAAAGTTTTTAGGAGGTGGTTTTATTTCAACATCTGAGTCATCATCATTTTTTACAACTGGCTATGGTTCATCTGGATTTGGTTAATCAGCAGGTGGTTAATCTCCATCTTCACCTGTGATATTAATAAGTATTTTTTCAGGTTATCCAGAAAATAACTGTCTGAAAGTTTCAACTTATTCTTTGTATTCTGGATTGAGGGGTGGTAAATTTTAGAATTCCTTTAAATTTGCAGTGTAGAAGAATGTTTTGTGAGGAAATTCAAAATTATTCTTGAAATTCAATCCAATAGCAATATAATAATTGGCAACTGTTCCTTCAATTCTTCCCCAAAATAATAATTAATCAAATGTCTAGGTTTAGCTAAGCTTTATCAATGCTATTTCTAACTTGATCCTTCATTACATTAATCAATACTTCTCTTCTGCACTCAGAGTTTGACCAATCTAATTTACAAATCGCAAATCTTCAGGAATACGATAAATTTCCATTTATTAATATATTTATATATAATTCTAATTTTAATATTTATTATCTAAAATAGATCTCATATATATATATATTATAAATTAAACAAAATAAATTTAATAATAAAATGTCCGATAATTAGCAATCGTCTGAAATTCCAGAATAAAGGATTTAAGAATCCATTGTTCAATAAGACTAACCTTAAGAATCAAAGGTTCTTAATACTTGGGCTAGATCATCTAAAGATCTCATTGATAAATATAAAAATAAGTTTGATGCATTTAAAGCCATGGCAGTTCAAGCAGGATACAATGATCCAACTCAATAATCAATCAAAATAGAAACTAATATAATAGAAGTTAATAAAGATCAAAAAATCATTTCATAAGAAAATGTAGTTGGACTAAATTAAATAAATATTAAACCTTTGGAAACTCAATCAATTATCTTATAAAAATCAGATACACAAGAAATTTAGGATTAATAGATTGTTTAATAAGATGTATAATAGATTGTTTTAGAATAATCAAAACAATCCGTTTAATAGATTGTTTTAGAATAACCAAAACAATCCGTTTAATAGATTGTCTTAGAATAACCAAAACAATCCGTTTAATATATTGAAAATTCTTATAAATAAGAACCAATAAATTAGTCGGTTGATTCTGTTAAATATGATCTAAAACTTACTGATTAAACTTATAGTGATCTATTTACATAAAAATAAGAAACTTAATAATCTTAAAAGAAGTTAGAAAACTTTTTGAATATAGAATTTGGTTCAAGAAATTTAGATGCTGTAACTGTAGAATAGAAAGCAGTTGTGAATTCAGATATACCTGTTGTCACTAATACTTATATTGAATTATTAGATTAATTTAAGAGTGCTACTACATTAGAGGATCTAACTGATTTATTCAATCGAAGAACTCCTTTCAAAGAAAGAAATAATCAATAAGAATTTCAATTAAATAATAATAATAATAATAATAATGTTGATGAAAATTAATGTTTAAAATAAAAAGGTAAAACTATTGATAATTTGTTATAACAATTTAAAACTCCCAATAAATTAAATTAAGAAGTTTTATTAGAGAATGGCAGTGGGAAGAATGGAGGAACTTATCTCAATTCTCAAGTTCCATAAGTTAACATTAAATTGTCTAATGGCAAATCACCAAATGCAAGATTTGGATTTATATAAGCAAGTCCATCATCATAATTTATTGGATCATCAGGTCAGAAAACTAAAAAAGAGAATACTTATTTAAATGTTAAAGTATAACAGAATATGAATTTCACAATTGAAGTTAAAGATAATATAAAACCTCATAAAAGAAAAGATGAATTATCAAATTTTATGGGTAAATTAGGATTAGGTAAATATGAAGCACCTAAAGTAACAATTAATTTGGATTAATAGAATGGATAAAGTAATTATTTATTAATATTTATATTAGATGCTTTTGATAGATTGAAACATTATGTTAATAATATTGGTAATACAAGTGCAAAAAGAGCACCAAGTTCAGGTTTAGATGAATTAGTAAATGATAAATCATTTAATACTTGCACTTTCAAATAATAAATGAAAGCATATAAAAAAGATAAAGGAGATAGAGGAGAATCTTCTTAAAGAACAGGAATCTCAGTAGAAAATCCAATGTTACAAGATTAATCATTTAAAAATCTACATCTAAAATTACTACATCATTAAAGAGCAAATTCTTAAGTTGGAAAATCAGTTAGAATTTGAGATATACTTTATTATTTTAAAATATAAATGTTTTTATTGACTATTTCATTGATCTATTTATAACTTATTCTATTGGATAAATAGTTAATGGATCAAGTGTAAAATTCTATTAGATTTTATAATAAATAAATTATTTATTTATATATATTAATATTATTGATAAAAAGAGTATGTGATTGGGATTATGAATTTTAATTTATAATTAATTTTTTCATACTAAAAATTATATATATATAAATAATTTAAAAAAATGGCAGGCGGATTAGAAAGAGTATATGGAACAGAGGAAGATAAAGTATTATTAATATCTCTTATATTAGGTGAATTGTTCATTCTATATAAAAATTGGAGCTTGTCGTTATGAAAACAAATGTTAAAGAATTCATAGTATCCCTCCAATCTCTTAGACTATTTTATTTAAAGTAAGATTAATTATGTAATGATCAGCATATGTATTAAAATTCTCCAATGGAAGTAGCAATTGCTTCAGGAAATGCAGTGTCTTAAGCAGGTATTGAAGAAGCATTAGAGAAATTCGAAAACTTTTATGAAGATGTATTTTTAAAAGTAAAAGTGGATATTATGATAAGTTGGCAGAGTTTGGCGAGATTGAAGATTTAATTGTATGCGAAAATATAGGTGATCATTTAGTAGGAAATGTATATGTGAAATACACATCAGAATTATTTGCAGAATCATGTTTTAATGCTCTATAAAATTTATCATATGAAAATAGACCATTGTAAATGGAATATTCACCTGTTTTGGACTTTAGTAGTGCTAAATGTAAATAATATATTGATGGAACATGTTAAAGGTATTAAATTATAAATAAATGATTTAAGAGGTGGAGCATGCAATTATTTACATCTTAAAAAGATAGCAACTAAATTTAAGAAGAGTTTATTTAATTAAATGTATGAAGAACATCCAGAATATAGAGAAAAAAAAGAGAAAGAAGTCAGTGAGTAATATAATTAATTGATATCACTATAGAAAGAGTCCAAAAAAGAATAAAAAGAAAGAAAAGAAAAGTAAAAAGAAGAAGAGTAGTAGTAGAGAATCTAGTCGTAGAAATTCTATTGAAAGATAAAAAATGATTAATGATTGGAATGAAACAGGTATATAAAATGTAAATTATTTTGATTATTATATTTATATAGGTATCGTAAGCATAAAAAATGATGTATGGAAATAATATGCCTGCTCCAGTATATACTCCTAAAGTATCAATGAAAACGAGTCCTGAATTATTATAATTACAATTATAATTGGCTGCTTTGAAAGAACAATTAGCTGCTATTAAGATGAGTTGAATAGTCTATTATATATATAATTATATATATATTAATTATGAGAAGGAAGAATTGGAGACCAGAAGTATATAATTTAAACTTATTAAAAAAGGAAGATAGGGCATTACTTGAAATATGCAAGACTCAAAATTACAATTGGAGAAGAGTTTCAAAATAAATGATATCTATTGGATATAAAAGATCAGGAAAATCATGCAAAGAGAGATTTCATAATTAGTTAAATCCTTATGTTAATAAAGATCAATGGACTTAAAATGAAGTTGACAAACTCTTTGAGTTATAAAGTAAATATGGTAACAAATGGGTAATTGTTTAAAATTATTCTTAAATAGAGAATCATTGCAAAAGAATTACCATAAAGAACAGATGGTTTGATTAAAAATTATTTTTATTCATTGGTTAGAAAAGTTCTAAGACGTCTTTCAAAGACTGTAAATGGAACTAAAAATGGTAATAATATCAAATACTTAAAAAGGATCTTAAATGACTAAAACTCTAAAACCTTCTGTAATTTCTTAAATATTTTGTATCAATCAGAATTAAATAAATGAAAGTGGAATTGATATTGAATTTGCACAACTCTTTCGAAATATTATATTGAAATACAAAAATTTTAACTTATCCTAATAAATTGATATAGAGGACATTGATAAAATTAAATCCATTTTTCAAACATTACAACAATTAAAGTATAAATATCCTATTTTTTAATTAGTGAATCATATAATTGTGATTAAGAAAAGAAAAATATCTCCAAAATTAACTCCAAGATCCAAAAAATGAAAAATAAATAAAGTAACATTAATATTGACAAAGTATTTTCAATTCTTATATATTCCATAGATTATACTATAGAAGATATAACTTAAACATCCCATTTTCACAATGAAATCATTTCCATTGCAAAAACTATATTCAGAATCTGTATTTCATCATAATACATATCATCCTACATAATTAATGTTTTAACCAATTTCATCTTTCACATCCTAAAATATAGACTAAAATAACAGTTATGGTGCCATCTTGGTTAAACCTGAATAATTAGTATTTTTTTAACCACTTCCTTCACCATATTATGTATTTTTTGTACAAAATTAATAGAATATGAATATTAGTGCCATCATCTAATAATAATCAAGCATCAATACATATTATAGTTCCTATTTCAATCAAACACCTGAAATTAAAGAGGAACATGAAATATGATTATATCAATTGACTTTCTAATTTATATGTTTACATTAAACTTCATCAATTAAGATCGTAATCACTTCCATTATTCTCTTTAATAAAGACTCTATCACTTATTCCTCACTATATTCCTTTGTTTCTCTCTTTCCACTTAGGAACCAAAACTTTATTTTTATAATTATTTAAAATAGGGGTTATAAATTATATTATATTATTACTTTATAAAAATTAAAAAATAAAAAAGGCTTGTATTATTTTTATTCAATAATAATTTATTTATAGCTTATATATAAGTAAATTTAAATCCTATATAATTTTTTATGAATTCCAAAAATATATAAATTATCAACTAATTATGATTGTTTCTTTAAGTTATTTAAAGAGTCCAATTTGTGATATTTACCATCAATTTATCAAATTTGTATAAATAATTCCTCTTATCTATTTCATTATGTGTTCTTTTTTCTATTCTTTTTTCCACCATATATATAATACAAGTTAATAACTAGAATTATTTTTATAAAATTCAAAGGTACCTTTTTAATTCTTTAATTTCAATAATTTACTAAATAAAGACTTTATCAGGAATCTTAATGTATTTAGTAGGCTATTTTTTTTTAATTTGAATAACTTTCCTTTATATAAATTCACATATAATTCATCTTCAACTACTTTTGTGAGACTAATATAACTGTTTCAATTCTTATGAATTTATATTGATTCAAATAAATTTGAAAAGAACTTTATTGAATTTATGATTTTTCTCAAATTCAATAGATTTTCCTTACTATTGATATACTAATTTATATCTTAGTATTCAAATTACAAAAAATATATGAATGAACATAATAAATGATAATCTAATGTTTATATCAGTTTTCATGATACTAATGGATGTAATAGTTTCCAATTAGACTTAAATATGAAATGTTAATTTTGGAAAATTTAAAGATTTGGTATTTAAAATCATTGAAATACATTAACAATTAAATATCACAAAAAGTAAATACTTAATATAGGATTTATTATTATCTAAGAAATTAGAATATGTATTATTATTATGTTTAGTTTTTAATTATTAAATTGATTGAACTCATCAACCAACAAATATTCATATTATAATCTATACATTATTATTAATTAGTAATTTAGATATTAATATATCAGTTAAAGCAATAATTTGTATTACACTATAAATTAAGTAGGATGAGTCTTGATTTTTATAATTTAAGAACGTATGTTTACTCATTATTTCTTGATTTATTTATATTATCAAATATATGTNTATCAATTGACTTTCTAATTTATATGTTTACATTAAACTTCATCAATTAAGATCGTAATCACTTCCATTATTCTCTTTAATAAAGACTCTATCACTTATTCCTCACTATATTCCTTTGTTTCTCTCTTTCCACTTAGGAACCAAAACTTTATTTTTATAATTATTTAAAATAGGGGTTATAAATTATATTATATTATTACTTTATAAAAATTAAAAAATAAAAAAGGCTTGTATTATTTTTATTCAATAATAATTTATTTATAGCTTATATATAAGTAAATTTAAATCCTATATAATTTTTTATGAATTCCAAAAATATATAAATTATCAACTAATTATGATTGTTTCTTTAAGTTATTTAAAGAGTCCAATTTGTGATATTTACCATCAATTTATCAAATTTGTATAAATAATTCCTCTTATCTATTTCATTATGTGTTCTTTTTTCTATTCTTTTTTCCACCATATATATAATACAAGTTAATAACTAGAATTATTTTTATAAAATTCAAAGGTACCTTTTTAATTCTTTAATTTCAATAATTTACTAAATAAAGACTTTATCAGGAATCTTAATGTATTTAGTAGGCTATTTTTTTTTAATTTGAATAACTTTCCTTTATATAAATTCACATATAATTCATCTTCAACTACTTTTGTGAGACTAATATAACTGTTTCAATTCTTATGAATTTATATTGATTCAAATAAATTTGAAAAGAACTTTATTGAATTTATGATTTTTCTCAAATTCAATAGATTTTCCTTACTATTGATATACTAATTTATATCTTAGTATTCAAATTACAAAAAATATATGAATGAACATAATAAATGATAATCTAATGTTTATATCAGTTTTCATGATACTAATGGATGTAATAGTTTCCAATTAGACTTAAATATGAAATGTTAATTTTGGAAAATTTAAAGATTTGGTATTTAAAATCATTGAAATACATTAACAATTAAATATCACAAAAAGTAAATACTTAATATAGGATTTATTATTATCTAAGAAATTAGAATATGTATTATTATTATGTTTAGTTTTTAATTATTAAATTGATTGAACTCATCAACCAACAAATATTCATATTATAATCTATACATTATTATTAATTAGTAATTTAGATATTAATATATCAGTTAAAGCAATAATTTGTATTACACTATAAATTAAGTAGGATGAGTCTTGATTTTTATAATTTAAGAACGTATGTTTACTCATTATTTCTTGATTTATTTATATTATCAAATATATGTCTAGAAATATAGGAGATTTTACTTTTAATTCTAACGAATGCATTGGATAAGGAACTCTAGGGAAAGTATGATTAATTTACATAAAATTAGTTACATAAAGGGACCAATAAAAAGAATAACTAGGATGTTGTACTTCGTTTGTTATAGAAATCATTATTGAAAGATGACAACATAATGTCAGCAGCTTTGACAGAAGAAATGGCACTTATGCAAAAACTTAAGCATCCTAAAATAAACCCAATATTAGAAGTCATCGAGTCATAAACATTTTTCTATGTTGTTTGTCCTTATCGATAATCTAATTTGCAAACGTAATATTCATATATATAATTAGAATTCTTTAAAAGCAAAGGAAATTACCTGAAGCAGAAACAATCAAACTTATCAATGATCTTATTGATGGATTTTCAGAATTAATTAAGCAAGGTATAATCCATAGAGATTTAAGACCTAGTAATATCCTTTATGATAATGGATCATATATTATTTCAGGTATAAATTAATATAATAAAACATACAGATCCTGGCTTTTTAAAGACTATAGAAAGTTTTAAGAAGGACAATAAGACTAAACCACAATAATTTTATTATTCTGCACCATAGGTACTTGAAAATAAATCTAAATATTCAAATAAATGTGATATATGGTCATTAGGTGTTATTATTTATGAATGTCTAACTGGAGTTTTACCTTTTCCTACTTCTAGTTTAGATGAGTATTTAAAAAGTTGTCGATCTAAAAAGGTGGAATTTTAATAGGGTTCTATATCTGGAGGAATGAAATCATTTATTGAAGGTTGTTTAGTTTACTAGGAAGGTAATTTAAATTTAAATAATGTTAGAGAAAAGATTTGATTGGACAAAAGTATTGTCTCATCCAATAATAAATGCTAAATTATAAAATAAGAATTAAGATATTGTAAAAGATAATAAGAAATATTTAATGACTTAAATAAGATAAAAGATAATTAAAAAGAATTTAGATTTATAGGATGTTTATTAGAAAATAGATGCAAATCATAATGGATTATTAGATTTTGATGAATTTACTACATTTATAAGTATGATAGATAAGAAAGTAACAAAAGAAGATTGTTATTACATATTCTAATAAATAGATAAAGATGGAAGTAATAGTATTTCTTTTGATGAATTTAAATTATGGATTAGTAGTAATAATACTAGAATGGCATTTTTTAAGATTAATAAACCAGATAATTTATAAAATAATAAATTAACACAATAACCTAAAAATATTAATTAATAATAAGAATTTATATTCTAATAATAATAGAATTAAATAAAATAATAGACACCATAATAATAATAATAAATGAATCCATTTTAATCACCATTAAATTAATAATAATAATAATAATAATAATAATAATAATAATAATAATAATAATAATAATAATTAATATAATAATAACCTATTAATTATTAATAATAATAATATTAATAATAACCAATAGGTTATTAATAACCATAAAATTAGTTTCCAATTAATTAAAATCTACCTCTATAACAATAATTTTATCCCTAACCTTAACCATAAACTCAAGTTTTTCCTTAAACATAAATGAAAAGTTCAGGATCTATTCCTGCTGGTGCAGGTTTTGGTAGAAGTGATAAATTAGAAAGAACAATTCTTATGATAAGAAATGTTATTAAATCAAAATAAATGGATGTTTTAACCTTATTTTAATAATTTGATTTTGATAAAGATAACTTCTTAAATTTCTAAGAATTCAGTTAATTAATTTGGAGTTTAAATAATTAATTAACAGTTGAAGAAATGGCTGATTTATTTAAAGTATTTAATTTGAATAGTGATGAATATGTATCATTTGTTGAATTCAGATTAGTAGCAAGTATGGCAAATGATAAGAAATAAAACTTATAATACCTTCCAATGTATTAACCTATTTAATAAAATAATAATTTTTAATAATTCAATCCACCTTTTTAAGGGTATTAAAATCCCTATCAAAATCCAGCATAATCACCAAATATTCCAATGATAGGAAATAATTAATAACCAATTCAAAACAATTATTAAATGTATAATGATTAATATTTTACACCTTAACCCTAACAAAATAACTATCCTACTACTCAATTAGGAAATAACAATAATAATAAAGGTATTAGAAAATAGAATGATGCCTCTTAATTGGATATATTGAGTACAAAATAAGCTAAAAAGGATAATAAGAAAAAAGAAAGAGAAGAAAGAGAAGCTAAAAGGAAATAATAACATTCATTCTCTCCTAAAGAAGAAAAACCAAAAAAACATTTGGAAGAACCATTAAGACCTCCTATGTTAACTAAATAAGATAAATAATAATCAATTTTAGAAACACCTAAATATCCTACAGAAAAGATTGGATCATAAAATAAAATACCTTCACCTCATCCTTCACCTAGACAAGATAAAAGAAAAGTAGAATAACCAACTGTT